GTAGGGTCTGAACCCATCAATCCCTCCTTCACCTGGTCAGAGCGGCTGGACAGGACGGGGCGGCTGGCTGCACTGCTGGGGGCCACTTTGCTCTGTTGGGTCTCGGCCCCAAACTGAAAAGTATCCAAAGCAATCAGTCCTCAGGTCTGACACTCCCAGTCAACCCTCCTCAATCCTCTGCCTCCTCTGTCCCTCAACTGACCAAGCCAACACTGCTGAGGTCAAAGAGGCTGAAGGGCTTGCTGACTACAGCCTCAGTCTGGATGAAGTTCCTCAACATCTCCGTGGATGTGGTCTGTACATAGCCATAGTCCTATGGGCAGAGGAAGGACAATCTGTGCGTGGTCAGTGGAGGGAAGGGGTGAAAATGAGTGGACTTAGCCTCCCATCCATGGGATATGTCTTCAGAGAATGGGGGACAGGGAGGGACATCCTTGGACCTTACCAGCACTTCATCCAGGAGTTCGTAGACAAGAGCTACGTTGCGGGATATAGTCCCCTCACCCAGGGAGCCACAGTAATCACCCAGGAGAGTGGCTAACCTGGGGAAACAGGGCGGAGTGTGCACATCTTCCTCCTCTCCCACCCCCACGCCCAGGTGCCCAGGCCTGCCCTCCTCACCGGGAGAGCAGCTCTAGGAGGCTGAAGGGAGAAATATTTTCTGAAGTCGTGGCCACCAAATAGAGGCCGCTGTGTCTGACGTGAATAAAATGACGGTCACCATGGTGCTGAGGCAGAGGCAGGCGGAAAAAGAGTTCGGAAAAGAGAGTTGTAGTGATTCCTGACCCGTGAGACTTGGGCTGGTATCCTGATTCCCTGACTCACTAGGAGCGTGACTTCGGGCGACATATGAAACCTCCCTAGGGCCCAGCTCCCTAACGTGTAAACGGAGTTAATAATAGTACCTACTCCACAGTGGCTGAGGACTGAGACGAGTGAGGAGCTATGTCTGGTATATTGTTTGCGCTCGATAAATTTCCATTGATGTTATTTGGAGGAGTGTATCCACTAAGTGAAAGCTCTCAGCGAAACAGCCCTGGGAGAAGGCGCCCCCTACCCCGGCCCTTCAGGAGTATCCCTTCCACCTCCGCCCCTGCCCGTAGTTACCATGACAACCGGAGACTCGTCTCCTGGCAGTCCTGTCAGCTTCCGGTAGAAGAGCTCGGCCACATCCCGGCCGCCACAGTCTCCGCGGACTGACCGGGTGGAAGGACAGCTAAGGAGCCAGGATGCTGGCTGGCTCTGGGGCACTAGTCCCACCCAGCCCCTCCCCACAGCCCCGCCGGTCAAGGATACAGTCTTTGTAGATGAGCGGGTCCCCCTTGGAGGACAGAATGAAGAACTGAGAAATCATGGCCGTTCTGGAGAGTAGACCACGCGACAGCGAAAGTTGGGCCTGCCCCGCCCTGCGGCCCCGGAACAAAAGGACGCGAGTGGGCTGGCCCTCTAAGAGCGACTCTCCTCGGACCGCGGGAAACCCGGCGCCCGCCCTGCCTTGTCCAGCCTTGCCCGCCCAGCCTTGTCCAGCCTTTCCCTCCCAACACCCGCGCCGCATCCGCGTCACTCAGCCTAGGTTCGCCCGGTGATTGGTGGAGGCTGGGGTCTGTGGCGAGTGGGAGGGGCAGAGGGCCTGCTCTCCGATTGGCCCGCACGCCACCGCGCTGGTCACGTGGGAGGAGACGTTTCGCGCCAATTTCGGTTCGTCGGCCGCAGTTCGTCGCGCGGGCGTACTTTGCTGCTCCGGCAGTGAGAGGTCTGAGCCCGCAAACTGCTGCCGCACTGCCCTCGGCAGCAATGGCCCTTAAGGACTACGCGCTCGAGAAAGGTGAGGGTCTGCAAGTGTGGGAGGGGCGCCCTGCGCGGGTATTCTTGGGCAACACCTGTTGGTGTCGGCTGGGGTCCTGGAGGGGCCGGGCTCGGCGTGCGAGGCCAGAAGGAGGGTTGGGAGGCGGCGGGGCTGAGGCAGACGGTGTCTGGGAGGCGCACGGGGCGCCGAAGTCGGAGAAGAGCTGGTAACCGTGTCCAGGAAAGGAGTGGGGGTCGTGGTGGGGGAGCGGACACCCCAGCTGGGGGGCTCCGGGGGAAGGGTCGTGCCCGGCGGAGACCAGGACCTCAGGGGACCCTGTCTAAGGCTCAGCGTTGGACACTCCCAGCCCGCTGCCCTCCGCGCTCTTAGGCACTCGGGCTCCCGCGTCTGCTCGAGACGCGCCGAAGCCCTAGGGGCGGGCAGGCCTGGGCCGCTGCGCGCGGGGATTGGCCGCGTTAGTCCAACCTCCAAGCGGAAGTGAAGGCGGGCGGAAGTTACGCGACGGCGCTGGAGGGAGTGTCGTGTGTAAACAGTGTCCTTCCGCACGGTGGCCTCGGAGAGAGCCACTGAGGGTGGGGGCGTGCCTGGAACTGGGGGGCTTAGCTGGGGGCCGAGGGGAGACGTGGCGGGGTGGGACGGAGTGGCCCTAGGCGAGCCGGCCAATCGTCGGGCGGGCTCCCGCCCTGGGCGGAGGAATTCCGGGCGGTGAGGCGGCAGCATCTGGGCCCATGTGCTTCTTTGTTTACTAAGAGCGGAAGCAGTGGCGGGAGAGGGGGTGGGGCGCTGGACGGGCCTGGTGGCGGAGATACCTGTGAGAACAAGGATTTGGGGGGCCGAAAGAAAAGGGGAATCATGCGCACGGAAGAAGAGCTGAGGACCTTGAGACCTGAGTGTGTTTCCAGGTGTGGGAGGCCTTTGAGAAAGAGCACTGAGATCTCCAACTACTGCAGAGTGGGATTCCCCTGCCGGGAGGGTGTTGAGTGTTACTCTGAACTGCCAGGGGCCCCTTCTTCCCTAGAGAAAAACGGACTCGTGAAAAGGTGTTCTGCCCAGTTTGGGGAGAATTATCTTAGGCTTATTTAAATGCTCGTTAAGGCTTTTTCAAATGCTCGTTAAGTGGTTTGTAGATCTCATTTTAAAAGAAAGTGAGTTTTTTAGATTTCTACTAGAGGGGTTTGTGATAAGGAAACCGAAAGAAAGGTCGATCCTCATGATTTTACGTTTTACATTATAGAGAAGGTGAAGAAGTTTCTACAAGAGTTTTACCAGGATGAATTTGGCAAGAAGCAGTTCAAGTATGGAAACCAGTTGGTAAGTCCAAGGTTAGGTAGAGGGAATGGGATGGTGGCTTACGGAGCTTTAAGAGGTGGCCTGGTTTATTTTAGAAAGTACACTTTGCTGTGACAAGTTTAGCAGCATACCTGGTACCTGTGTATCACTACATTCACAATAATTAAGGTGTTTTTAGGAGTTGGGGGTGCTGAGAAGTGAGTATTGCTGTGTCTCACCAGCTGTTTCTCCTCTGTGGGGGCCTGGAATTTGGGTGCTGAGCTCACAGTGACAGGTTCTTGCGTGTGAACACCGGGGAGCATGGTATACCTTGTTCTGTGGCTATCTCTTCCTTACCCCAGGTTCAACTGGCTCATCGGGAGCAAGTGGCATTGTACATAGACCTAGATGACGTGGCCGAGGATGACCCTGAGTTGGTAGACTCGATTTGTGAGAACACCAAGCGCTATGCCAGGCTCTTCGCTGATGCTGTCCAAGAGCTGCTGCCTCAGTACAAGGCGAGAGAGGTGAGGAAAATGCAGGGCAAGGAGCTTCAGTTTCCGTCAAGAGGCTTCTTGGATACTAGTGTTTTCTGAGCTGGCGGGGATGGGGGCTAATGATTTCTGCCTGGCGCCCTTTGTGCTCTTTCCCCGTCCTGCCACTCATTTTACCCGTCTCCCTTCCTCTTCCTTTAGGTGGTAAATAAAGATGTCCTGGACGTTTACATTGAGCACCGGCTGATGATGGAGCAGCGGAGCCGGGACCCTGGGGCAGCCCGGAGCCCCCAGAACCAGTACCCTCCTGAACTCATGCGCAGATTGTGAGTGGTCTCGGTGGGGAAGGGTGTGGGAATTTGTTCTCCAGGACGTAGCTAATGACTGTTTTCCCCTTAGCGAGCTGTATTTTCAAGGCCCCAGCAGTAATAAGCCTCGTGTGATCCGGGAAGTACGGGCTGACTCTGTGGGGAAATTGGTAACCGTGCGTGGAATTGTCACTCGTGTCTCTGAAGTCAAACCCAGGATGGTGGTGGCCACTTACACTTGTGACCAGTGTGGGGCAGAGACCTACCAGCCAGTACGTATGGAACAGGGAACAGGAAAGCACTGAACTCTGCTAGTTTTCTAAGAATTAATTTTGTCTGCTGATTCTTATGTCGTTTTCGCTGTTTACTGTGAAACACACCTGTTTTCCCCTTTCATCATTTCTAGCATAGTCTTGCTGTCCATTTTGTGTTCTCCGTGTTTGTTTATGTTGACCCAGAATAGTTCAGGACATTCTTGATAGTTCCATGGTATCTGCCACAAGGAGATGTTTTTCAAGTGACTGACCGTAAGGGGCTCTGACTTTGGTGCTTCCTTTTTGACATCCTAGATCCAGTCTCCCACTTTCATGCCTCTGATAATGTGCCCGAGCCAGGAGTGCCAGACCAACCGCTCAGGAGGGCGGCTGTATCTACAGACACGTGGCTCCAAATTCATCAAATTCCAGGAGGTGAAGATGCAAGAACATGTGAGTTTGGGGTGTGTGGTCCAGGGCCCAGGGAAGTGGGAGCTTGGAGGCCACTTGAGTCCTGTGGTCACTCACACAGAGTAGGACAGAGAAAGAACAAAAGAGGGAGGAGTTGAGGCAGGGAGTACCCCAGTGCAGGAGGAAGGGTTAACTGGAACTTCCTGATTGAATTGGGAAGAGGTAAAGGAGAGCTCAGCTTCCCTCTTCCTCAGCTTGTCTGGGGCGGAGCATGCCAAGAAGTGGAAGACTGCAACGCTGCGGGAGGGAAGGTTAGTCCTCAGAGGCCTGTGTACCCTTCTCCCCCAGAGCGACCAGGTGCCCGTGGGAAACATCCCTCGCAGCATCACGGTGCTGGTAGAAGGAGAGAACACAAGGATCGCTCAGCCTGGGGACCACGTCAGTGTCACCGGTATCTTCTTGCCAATCCTGCGCACTGGCTTCCGACAGGTGGTACAGGTAAGAAAGGAGATGAAAATGCGGATGTGGTGTTCCCATCTCATCCATCCCCTCGCTCTTACCACCCCCACAGAGAAGACTATCAGCAGCAAAACACCAAACAAAACAGAATGAAGGGTTTTGTCAGGAACTCTTAAGGGAATCACGTGGATGGGCAAGGTAAAGGAACCTCTTTCACATCCTGGCATTTTCCTTCCCAAGGGTTTACTCTCGGAAACTTACCTGGAAGCCCATCGGATTGTGAAGATGAGTAAGAGTGAGGAGGATGAGTCTGGAGCTGGAGAGCTTAGCAGGGAGGAGCTGAGGCAAATTGCAGGTGAGGGGTCGGGGGAAAGCAGGAATGTGAGTCTCTGAGCAGTTGTTCCCCCAGAAAACACTCAGTCTTCACTGTCCCACAGAGGAGGATTTCTATGAGAAGCTGGCAGCCTCTATTGCCCCCGAGATATATGGGCACGAGGACGTGAAGAAGGCGCTGCTGCTCCTGCTCGTGGGCGGGGTGGACCAGTCTCCTCGGGGCATGAAAATCAGGGGTGAGTAGAGGCATTTGGGAAGGCAAAGGATGACAGGGACCAGTGTCCCATAGGACACAGAATAAGAGTTGGCATCTTGGCTTCAATGGGTGGAGGGTAGGATTAGAAGAAATGGTGCTGGGCGTGGGGGGGCAGGCCTGAAAGGTACTTTTCTGTTTTTGAACAACATGCATTAAAAGAATAGCCACTAAGGAGCTTCCTGCTGCTCCTCCAGGCAACATCAACATCTGCCTGATGGGGGATCCTGGTGTGGCCAAGTCTCAGCTCCTGTCTTACATCGACCGCCTGGCCCCCCGCAGTGAGTAATTAGACCTTGGGAGATGCAGACCGGAGGTCAGGAGCGGGACCACCACATTTCCAACCCTCTGGGAGGGCTGGGAATGAAGGTGATGTCAGTGCCACCACCCCCAAGACGTGCAGCTGCCCCAGGAAGTCCTGGCTGGGTCAGTAGGGCAGTTCAGTACACATCTCATCTCTCTGGCCCATGTTTTTCTATCCTTTGCCCTATTCTTGCTCCCTTGTTCTTTTTCTTCTTAAACCTGTCTGCTTTTCTCTCTTCCTGATCCCTTTGTTCAGGCCAGTACACGACAGGCCGGGGTTCCTCCGGAGTGGGGCTCACGGCAGCCGTGCTGAGAGATTCCGTGAGTGGAGAACTGACTTTAGAGGGCGGGGCCCTCGTGCTGGCTGACCAGGGTGTGTGCTGCATTGACGAGTTTGACAAAATGGCTGAGGCTGACCGCACAGCCATCCACGAGGTCATGGAGCAGCAAACCGTCTCCATTGCCAAGGCGGGCATTCTCACGACGCTCAATGCTCGCTGCTCCATCCTGGCTGCTGCCAACCCTGCCTACGGACGCTACAACCCGCGCCGCAGCCTGGAGCAGAACATACAGCTTCCTGCTGCGCTGCTCTCCCGATTTGACCTCCTCTGGCTGATCCAGGACCGGCCTGACCGAGACAATGACCTGCGGTGGGTGAATGCAGCTCGGCAGTAACGTCTCTGGGGAGGGAGGAGAAATTGGAAGACTCCTCACTGTAACTCCAGAGCCTGCCTCTCTTAAACCGGAGCCTGGTCCACTGTTCTTAGGGTGGGTCAGGACTGAAATGCTGATAACCATTTCCTGGGAAATGTCCCTGCCATGCCAGGATGGGGAGCTGAGGGAGGAGGATGTGGAATTGGGGCGCTGCGTGTAGCACCAAAAAGTGTGTTCCTATGTGCCTCCCCTCTCCCCAGGTTGGCCCAGCACATCACCTACGTGCACCAGCACAGCCGGCAGCCCCCAGCCCAGTTTGAACCTTTGGACATGAAGCTCATGAGGTAGGAGGGCTGGGTGAGGACTGGTGTACTTTACCAGTCGTCGTATGTGCGTTGTTTCTTGAGAAGCTTTCAATCTCAGGGGTTTATATTTATACTTCACCCCGCCCCCCTCTCTATTTACTGTATGTTCTGGGTCTGAGGACAGTTGAGTCTAGGTCCCCGCCAGGCCACAGGAAAGACCGTGGCAGAGAACCCACATTTCGCACCATCTCCACCCCTGCCCGCCTCAGGGTTGAGGCGGTTTCAGATTTGAGGCAAAGTTGAGTCCTGCTGCTGGGATACTTGACGTCACTTTTCTCCACGGAGTCTGTCGAAGGGCTCCCAGTGGTTCTTCGAGTTTTCCTTCCCTTTTACCTGTTCTCTTGAAGTTAACAAGATATACTTGTTTCCTTTGGCCATGTCACATGTTCAGGGGAGGGGGCCCTTTGGAGAAATCAGTGTTAAATATTTAAGCAAGCGAATAATCATCCACTGATTTGTCTTTCCTACTTAAAAGTACCCCCACCCCCAAGAGTTTTCTTCAGTGGAAAACTTACGCAGAACAAACATCCTCTTGCCATCTCTTTTCTGCTTCCCTGCAAACCTCCCCCACAGGCGTTACATAGCTATGTGCCGGGAGAAGCAGCCCACGGTGCCAGAGTCCCTGGCCGACTACATCACGGCAGCCTACGTGGAGATGAGGCGAGAGGCCTGGGCCAGTAAGGACGCCACCTACACGTCCGCCCGGACTCTGCTGGCCATCCTGCGCCTGTCCACTGCTCTGGTGAGCGCCTGTCGGTTCTGCTGGAGGGTGGCCGTTTTGGCCCTTCCCTGGGCACTTGCCGTGACACGTTCTCTCGCTGCCGCCTCCCTCCCACTCAGGCCCTGCCGGGGCTAAAGTGCTGACAGTGCAGATAGTGGTCCTGTCCGTGCTACCGCACTGTGGGTACTTGCTGCTCCAGCAGGGCACGCACCGCGGCCGTGGAGGGGAGGGCCCGCTCCCTGCTTCGCACGCCTCTCGGAGGGGTGGGTGGGGCTGGTCTCGCTCCGCGTGCCCTAGATCTTGTGCTAGAAGCCTCCGTTTCTGCCGTCCCATCTTGGACCTTCGTCCTGGGGGCTCCAAAGTGCTGTTCGTGCAGGTAGTGTGATTGCCTGACCTACTGCTGAGCTAGCACTTCCCGAGCCCCGGGGACACAGCCTCTCTGCCAGGCGCCACCTGTCGTGGAGGGGAGCCAGTGGGGTTCAGAAGGGTCTGGTCGCCCTCACAGGACAGCTGAACACCGGGACTGGCCAGTGTTGAGAGGCGGAGACTTGGGCAATTGCTGGCCGCTGCCCTGGGCATTGCACTTGTCTCGGTCTGACAGTGCCGGCCCCACGCTGCGGATGTTTGGGGGCAGGGGAGGGGGCCTCTGCTCGTTTGTGAGTTGACACACATGGGTAGCCCAACTTTTAACACCGGAGGGGGGTCCCTGACTTCACTCCACCCCCCTCCTCCCGTTCCCATCTCTCCCTACCTTCCCCTTAGGCGCGTCTGCGAATGGTGGACACTGTGGAGAAGGAAGATGTGAACGAAGCCATAAGGCTAATGGAGATGTCCAAGGACTCACTTCTGGGTGACAAGGGGCAAACAGCTAGGTGAGTGGCTTCATGAAGGATGTCAGGAGTCACCTTGACCTTGTTGAGCAGAATGCTTATCCCTGTGGTTTCTGCATCCTCGTGTCTCTGATGTTGGTCTCAGACTCTGAATGCTGACCACTGCTGTTCCGTTGATACTGGGCATTCTTGTACCCTGACCGTACACACCCATGCTTGCTCCCTCCAGGACCCAGAGACCAGCAGATGTGATATTTGCCACGGTCCGTGAGTTGGTCTCGGAGGGCCGAAGTGTCCGGTTTTCCGAGGCGGAGCAGCGCTGTATATCTCGTGGCTTCACACCTGCTCAGTTCCAGGCAGCCCTAGACGAGTATGAGGAACTAAACGTCTGGCAGGTCAATACTGCCCGAACACGGATCACTTTTGTCTGAGTCCAGTCGTGGGAGGCACTGGAGTCTGCTCTGCACACCATGCCAGCCCCCCTTCCCTTAAAGGTCCAATGATGCTCTTGAGGGGAAAGGAGGCTCCCCTCTTTCTCAAACTGCACTTGTTTTACCCATTCCTTTGCTAATAAAGTGTTTATAGATTTGCTGCCTTCCGTTGTTAAAACATTGAGTTTCCTAGGTTCATATCTTGTTCCCCTTACGCTTGTCTTATTCCATCCACTCAGTTAACTGTGCCTGTCAGGCACCATTACAGACAGTGGAGATGCAGCAATGAGTGACAAGTCCCAGCGTGCAGACTGTTCACACTGGATCTCCACTCATGTCTCCTGCAGCCTCAAAGTAAGACACCAGTATCTCTGCCTCCTAGGGTGCAGGTGCCCTGGGGTTCAGGCACACACCTCACAGTGTAGTAAGCACTCAACGTGGTAACAGACACCTCCCCCTTGGCAATCAATACCCAGTGCCCATAGGATCAAGGCTTTAAGATCCAAGTTGAGAAGCCTGTGGGTACCTAACAGAGAGGACAGAGCCACTGAAAGGGGGTGCTGAGGGGCTGCTCCCCTTTTATTGACAGGTTGCTCCAAAGGGAGTGTAGCGCCCTTCCCCTTGACAGCTGTCCTACCCCTGTGCATCACCCCTTCAAGTACCCTCTCTTCAGAAGAAGAGCCCCCGCATCCGCCTGCCAATGCCTTGTCGATCATAGAGGACGTTGAACTTGTTGACGAACTGGTTCATGGTGTTGCACGTTTTGGTGATGGTGCCAAGGTAGGCCATGAGCCCCACGTCATTGCATTGCTGCAGGGGAACAGAAAGAACTGGTTCCCCAGGGGCTCCAAGTCCCTCACAGCATGCGCAGGGACCAGCCGAGTCCCGTGTCCCGCATGCAGAAGTGACGGTGTGCACCCCACCTCCCCATCCTGCATTTCACACTCACATCGTAAAAGTCTGTCTTGAACTTGTCTGTGCTGAGCACTGGGAGGCAGTGACACAAAGCATAGGCCTCCCGCAGGATCTCATGGTTAAAGGGGACCTCTCCTAAAGGCACAATAAGGGGCCACATTAATGTGGATGCTGTCACTTCCCCAGGAGGGAGGAAAAGTGGCTCAAGTGCCAGGGAGACACCTGTCCTACCCGCTTCAGAGGCCTTGACATACTCCAAGATGAGCTTGACGCGGCTGTGCAGCATCTTGATGGCACTGTGCTGTGCGATCAGGTGTTCGGCCACTGCAGGGGGACAGGGACAGGCTGAGGCTGAGCAGGCAGGTGGCTACACCTTCCACCCCCACTGCGAAGGAAGCCCCTCGGGCCTCCATTACCAGTGGAGTTCTCTCCGCTGCCTGTTGCTGTCATTCGGGCCACGTGGTCTACACCAATGCGTTCGGCTTCCTCTGTGGCCAGAGTGTAGGTCAGCTCAGCAAACAGCATCGTGGCCTACAGGGCACATGGGGAGAGTCAAACACAGGAAACGCCAGGAGTAGGATCTGAGCATTGAAGGGCAGGGCATTACCTCTCCATTGATTATATCTATGACAGACTCAAAAACGCTGACAGGAAGCTGTAAAGAGATGGAGAACAGCTCTTAGTAACATCAAATGCACCAGAATCTATTCTAAGAGCCCCAAACTGGGCTTGGCCCTTTCACATTAATAATTTTCTCATCTAATCTTCCTAAGGACCCAGTGGAGTAGGAATTATCCCATTTTATACATGAGGGAAATGCAGTTGAGGTTAAATGACAAACCGAAAGTCACACAGCTGGTAAACTGCAGGGCAGAGACTTGATTCAGCAGGAGACGCAATACAGTAAAAGATAACAGGGGATGAGACTAAAAGACAGGCATGGCGATGGACAAGCAGTCCAAAGCGGGCACGGGCACAGGGTCAGCATTACTCACATCTGTGTGCTTGGTCATAGGGTTCAACTTGAGAAACAGAGGGCTCTCAATAATCTCGCACACCTGGAAGAGGGGGACGATGCACACGCGTGTCAAGGCCCATCTTCTTCCCCTGGTCCCCTCTTCTCTGCCCCAGCATGCACACGTGTGAGCATGTGTACCTGCTTATGGACGTGGATGTCGGAGGGGTCAGGCGGCCCCCCTGTGGTATACCAACCCAGAAACTCCAGCTCCTTGAATACCTGTTTAACTGGAGAGGAAGGGGCCAGAGGACACAGTATTTCTTTAAACCATCCTTGATTTGAAGCTCCTGGTGTATTTTTAGCAGCTTCTCCCCTCCCCATCCTGGCTCAATTTAGAATAATTAATCTCTTCTATCTTGTCTTCTCTGACTCCTTACTTTGTGGGGAATAACAGAATGTGTTCTTTTCCTAAGGTCTCTACTCTCCCTTCACTTTTCCTCCGCTCTGGTCCTATTGTTTTTTTTTCCCCCAACTCTCTCCATCCACTTTGTTTTTCTGTGTGTTTTTTTTTTTAACTCCCACTCCTCCCCCCACCTCCATTCCCTTCTCACATTGCTCCTCCTTGGTGTAATAATATTCCTTGTCAATGATAATCTTCTCTTCCACGGTGTGGGACAGCAGCTCAAAGGAGTTCATCACCTCGATGTTTCGGCCCTCCTGCTTCCCGATCAGAGCCCCAATCACTAGGGGAGAGAACACAGAGGTGAGGGCAAGGCATCCCGAAACTCCCCAACCATTCAAGCCCGAGAGTCTGAGGTCAGGCGAGCCAAGTACCAGGGAAACGGCGATTTGAGAAGGAGGAACTGGCTTCAGTAAAGGAAGGGGAAAACGCTACTATTTGGGGGAGGTGATCAAGAAAAGGAGGCTGGAGAATTGTGCCCAACACTCACCCTGCATAGGCCGCCCCTCCTGGGAGCGCATGCGAATCCAGTGGTCTGAGATGTTGAGAATGACGAGGGGATGAAGAGCGACCGAAACACTGCCAGTTACCCCGGAGGCCATCACGCTGGGGACTACTAAAGAGAAAGAGGAGGTGACAGTCCGGGTCCCACGTTCCTCCCGGGAAATGAGAGTGGGAGACGGCGGAGTCCGGGCCATACATCCCTCCCGCAAGTTATCCCAGAGAGCTCGTCGCTGACCCGCCCTCCTGACTTCTCCCGGGAGTCGAGGAAGGCCGTGATGGGCCTCGAAAGGCGTCTCCAGAAGCTGCCTCCGCGGGGCCCGTTACCTGCTGCATCCACCTCCATGCCGCTGCTCCCTCCGGTCCCGTTCGCCGCAGCCGCCGCCGCCGCCATTTTCCCCGCGCCCGCCAGCGTCGGCCCCGCCCCCTCCCTCCCGGCTTCCGTACGGCAGC